TAATAATGACACTAGAAACTACATGGAAACTACAGGAAGTCATCTTGCTACTCACAAGCTACTCACTTTTGGTAAACTGCAGTTCGTGCAATTCACCAAAGCAAATCACACCTTCAAACATGTATAAACAGGAATTTGTTCCCTGAGTGAGGGCAGAAGAATACTACTGGACAGCAGCCACATGTAGCAATGAAACAGTTAAAACACGCAGGAGATGGGGCACATGGAAAACAAGAGCCACATTTAAAACTATGCTGAGAACAAAGTGTGAAAATAGCTGCTTCTGTCGCATGCTTTGTGTCTCCAGGGGTTTCTACAGAAACACTGTACAGTGTGAGATCATCTTCCTCATGCTGTCTAATATTTTCTAGAGATTGTCTTCGTTTTCCCTGCACCAGTACAATCTTCTTAAAGAGGTGGAAGGACTCTCATGCTTTTCTGACAAAACCCAAGCTCCTTACCAGGTTACGAGCACAGCTAAGGACATGTGGGTTTGCCCTCTAGTTCCCTCATTTTACCGCTTGGTAGGACAGGACCACATGAGTCAAATCAGAACTGCCCTTTTATAAAACTCACAACAGTTACATGTAACACAAGCAAACAATGAGATTATACAGTTGGGAAGAGCAGCATGGTACCATGGTTGCAGCACAATTGGATAAAAATTGCCCTTGAGAGGTGCTAAGTGGTCAAAAGGAAGACAAAGTAGCGGTGTGTTTTTCATTTGGAAACTGCTGTTTCCCTTTGGGAACAGGGGGAAGCCTCCTCTAAAATTCAATAGGCCTTCCTAATTCACAAGAGATTATATTTTAAACATGTTTTCTGTCTCATCAATACTATAGCACATATACTTAAGACATTGCAATGGATAAAAGATAGGAGAAAGGAAATAATTACATTACTAATTCCAGCTTCACATAGCAGGCTGCACTGAATGTGAAGTCTTTCCACAGAAAGACAGGAAGAGGACTGAAACACATTAATAAAATCACAGCCATCCCACTCACACTGAAGATAAACTGAAATATATTATAAACAAGGTGCATCTAGCATGTTCAAAGCTATCTACAGACTCATTAACTTTATTCTAGTGGAGGATATTAATTAGTTGAATCCCTGAGATCCTTAAGCAAACACACATTCCCAGCAATCTATAAACTAACAAATGCTGGGAGAGGGAGGAGAGACCAAAAAGACCCAAACCCATTGTGCCTGAGCATTTGACTTGGCCTTCATGATGAGGGACTCCCGTTGTAAGAACACAGTTCAGCCTTCAGCAGTGACTAAAGTGGCCATGAGATCTGGATACTTTGGCATAACTGATTATCCTTTCAGACTGGTGGGTTTTTTGGTTTGGGGTTTTTTTGTTTTTGTTTTTGTTTTGTTTTTTTGTTTTGGTTTTTTTTTTTGGTTTTTGATTTGTTCAAATGCCAGAACCACCCTCTTAGCAGAGGTAGTGTCAAACCAAAAATTCAGTGTTATCTGCGGGAATTTAAATGGGTTTTTTTCCCCTCCTTTACATTGAAAGCTTTAATTTTTTTTTCCCCTGACAATCCTCATCTGCCACTTACATCAGCTTCCTCTGACAAACTACTGCTGAGAACCTTGAGTCTTGGCAGTCTATAAACCAGCTAAGTTTTACAGCTAATTAAGCCCTAAACCAGTTTCCTATGAAAAAGAGTTATTTCAAAAGTATAAAAAAGTTTGGATTCATCACATACCCTGTTGCAATGATGGGCCAGCAACAATAACTACGAGAGCAACGTGCAACATCCTCTTGTGGGGCTAGTATCAAGAGATGCTTGTGCTGCAGATTGATTGAACTCACCTGGAAGAACTTGGTGAAGAGAAGGGAAGCCTCAAGAAGTCTGTGTGCAGGAGAAAAAAGTAATCTACATATCAAAATTACTTTGTCTTGAACTCTTACTGTACCTGCAGGGATACAAACAGCGAGTAGAATCCTGACAGAGACTATTATTTATTTCAAGAAATACACAAGCAGATCAGGTGTTAACATTTGCTTTTATTTATAAAAAAAATTGTAGAACGTATTAAATACAAACATTTGGAAAAAGCAATCAAGGCTTCGCTAAGATGCCCAGGAAGAGGAAGACAGAGGATCAAGAAGCTTACCAGGTTTAGAGTTTTTAAACTAGCTGAAGTAATTACTATAACTTTTCACTGACTTCTTCATAGGCAGTGGCTATTATAGCAACCAATGTTATTACTGTCCTTTTTAAAAAACAGAGATATGATTTGCCATATCTTCCCACTCAACCACAAAATGTAAGGAAGCAACTCTTTCCGGGTTAAAAATCAGGGTAATAAATACTAATGCATTTACCCATTACCTACATTGTATAACACTAAACATTTGCTTATTAGTCACACATGGATATCAAGTTTAGCCAAAAAATTCAATTATACATTTCAAATCTGGATATCCAATAAGGTGTTATAAACTTTATACATTTTCCAGTGAACATCAAAATGCGGACAGTGTTTTGAAGCACAGAAACAAAATAACTGAATGCATCATCTACACTATAAAGGCCAGCTACTAAGAGGTGGACTGGGGTCTAGTCATGTTCCAGATAGCCAGGAAGTCCTACAAACTGCCACTGAATGGCTGGCTGGAAGACAGATCATGGCATGTTCTCAGTCTGTGTTAGCTCCTCTCCCTTTCTAAAAGGCCACAGGCAAGAACTGTAGCTATTCTCTCTTCTGAACCTTGTGGTAATAAAGGACTAAACTCTCATTCTGCTCGACATTGACAAACCAGATGCAAGTTTTCTTGGACTGCTGTTGCTCTTTTACCACTCTTAAAGGCAGTATGCAGTACATACAGACCACTAAACAAGATGCAGAAGCAAGAGGCTACAGAAAATACCTCTTCTATCTTGTAAAGGGAGAGAAGCACTTCCCCTTGCTGACAATACAGCACTCCCTCCATCTTTCTGCTTTACCCTGTATCTGCTTTTGAGTTGCAGCATAATGCACATTGATGTGGCTATATGGCCCTAAAGTGGCCAAGTTCAATTCTAAAAAAAAAATAAAATAAAATAAAAAAAATCCTATTTGTGGAACTGACTCTTTGGGGATAACCAAAGTATTAAAAAAATCCAGTAGAGAATAATCTTGGATACATGAGCAGTAATGGATGTCTCCCATTCTGCCTTGTATTTGTCAGAACAGAACAAAGAATTGCCAACTTGCCAGCACTCACGGGGTTACTATGGCAAGGATGAAAGTGCCAAAAGTGTTATGGGATACACAGTGCTGGCAGTCAGCTGCAGGATGGACTGACTGGACACCTGCAAAAGCACAGGCAGAACGCTCTGACAAAGCAGCCCTTTGGGGACAGGTGAAGTTGCACTACAGATCCTATTATGAGTAGAGGGGCTGAACAAATGGACCAGCATCCTGAACGCGTGTCAGACCCTGCTACCAAGGAAAGCATTTTCCAATTACCACATCCACCCTCAGAGCACAGAGAGCACTGCCAATGTGGGCACTGCTGTGCTGGAATTCCTAATTAGCCAATTATTTGCAGATCAACATCTTCAAGAGCAGCTAAATACTTCTCTTACCAGAAAAACACAGAGCAGTTGCTGGCTATACCAAATAGGTAGGGGTTCATTTAGCTACAAGCTTGAAAATAAAGTCAATTCCAGCACCTTTCCCAAATCCAACAGCATCCCTTACTGCAACACAGACATGATTATTCTGCTCTTGCTGTGTCAGTACACTTAAAGTACTTAGTGCAAAGAGAACCCTGATGCAGGCTTGGACACAGGCGAAACGGTCAGGCCAGTTCCACCCCGTTCCCTTTTTTCCTATTTGGCAATTATTGATATACAAGATCCATATTTCACAAGCCATAACATACATTTTTTGAAGATACTTAACAGCCATAGCTTACTTGACCCCAAAAGCCTTACTCCCATCCAAAGAATTCACTGCCACCCAAAGCAAGCAGGAAATCACATGAAGAGGAATCTTGTGAAGGGACGGGAGGTCAGAGTACTGAAGAAATTGAAAGAGCCAACAGACTATTTAGTATGCTGACTGCTTCTCACTCAGTGCTCAGCTTTAGCATGATGTACACCACACTGAAACAAATAATGGGATTAGTATTGTTTCTCTTTTTTAAATATCTTGGCTGTTTGGGAGGTAATTTTTATTTTCTGGAATCTTCAAGAAAAATAGGCCTTTCATCCTCAGTCAGACAAGAAACCATGATCCTGGCATCAATGCCACTCCCTACTACACAGTCAGAAAATCAATACACTGCTCAGCACCCCTGGTGACATATCTGAAGTTGCACTCTTAGAATATGCTTGAGTCAGGCAATGGCTCCATTCCAGAAACACACAGTGTTACCAAGAGCAGAGTATGGCCCCTAGTTTTAACCTAATTTAAAATGTATTTTACAAATGCAATCCAACAAATCTGATCACAGCAAAATATATAGTGGTTTTAAAATGGCAGAAAGTTCAATTCAAACAACTCAATTTTTAAACCAGTGAGAAATATGGGCAATTTTAAAAGAAAACAATAAACTTCTCAAATACAGACATTTGTGAAATATACATGCACACACACACACTCTGTCACACACACACATACCCACTTACTTCACTCAGTGTCAGATTAAGATTACACAAGGCAATTTTCAAGGTTGCGTTTACAACCACAACGACAAGAACAGCATTTTTGAGGTAGCTGAAGTCAAAGAGCAAACCACAGCACAAGCAAAGAAACAGGTGCTCGCACTCACACTGAGCCCACTCTTTGGAGACACGTTATCATGTGCGCAGGGGCATGTGTTGAAGAGGCACGTGTTCCACAGGGAATGAAGTTCAGCAGCACTGGAGACCTGATAAACTATTCTCCAGAGAAGCTTATGTTGGAAGACCAGATGCACAATCAAGGGACCATGGCTTAAATCACTGCACATCAGCTGAGCTGTGGTAACAGTCTCGGTGCTCTTGGTCTGTGGCAGCTCTACTGACAGCTCTGTCTCACGTGCACTGAAGCAAGTACAACTGTGGCAGTTGAAGATGTTATTACTCAGAGCTGTCTGTCCCACTTCTCCTCTAGATGCTACTGTTGGTAGAAAGGTACATGTACCCATATCTCACCTGCTCCAGTTGGCAGCCTAGCATTGAAGTTCAAGCCCACCTCCACGGTATTACGTGCCAATGGACTGTGAACAGGAGCAGAAACACAGACTTGAGTTCCGTCCCTCAGGTGCAATAACATCTTTGCCACATTAATAGTGCAGAGATGTCAAACTGCCACAGCTTGAATCACCAGACTTCATCTCCCAGAGCCCTTTGCTAGCCTACAACGAAAGGAGTTGAGCTAACCTCACAGCAAATGCCAGGCAACGTGGGCATACGGGGACAACTGCTGTGGCTGACTGGCAAACTGGCTCAGCCACAGCAACTGGATCATGTCTCTGGGTATACAGAGAGCTTGATCCTGCCCAAACTTATTATAAAACTGTGTCAAACACACTCATACACACACACATAATGTAGTTATTTTCATCATCAAGGAGCTTTCTACAAATCAACTGTTTGCATGATTACTGCTGAGAGTCTTGAAGATGGGATGGAAATTATGGCAAGATGTTTTTCAAAATTAGAAAGAAAAAATTATCAACTTCCTATGATTAGGTCTCTGTTGTGTAGTTGCTGTATGAGAGAGATGGCACAGATGAGAAGTTGTTATTCCACTGTCTTCCTCCAGTATTCTGCTGCAACTCTGCCTGCTCTTTATATTTGCTCAGAAGATTTTTGGCTTCTTGCAGATCCTGAGAAGAGTTTTCCCCGTATTCTTCTTTCAGCCATTGCCTGAACTGCAGAAATTGAACATACGTACACGGTAAGATGAAACAATAACATGGGACTGATGCAGAAGTAACACTCCCTCCTGTCCTACAGAATTTCAAGAGCCTTTAAGAACACAAGTTTAAAGACAAGTGTTCCAAATATTGCACATCCTTCAATAGCAGCAAAGAATACATAGGCACAGGAACACAGATTTGAAATCACTGAGATACTTTACATCCCCAAAAGTGAGACACTTGCCTAACAGCTTGGCTGACCAAAGCAATACATAGTAAGGGACATCCACCAGGCGAGGACATCCTAGACTTAAAAGCACCTTCCTCCTCTTGCATGAGATGAATAAGCATGCAAGCTAATATGACCAGCCAACTTGACTAAGTCACAACAGGCCACAAGAAAATAGAGTATCAGAAAGTGAACCACTCATAGGTTTTTCATCCTGAGCCCACAAACCCCAGTAGTAAAAAAAAAAAAAGTGCTGTAGATATCAGGGAAGGTATCTTCTAGTAAGAAAAAGACCAGGAGCTTTAAAAGCTATAGAATTGGACCCTATATGTTATTGACACGAATGACTGAATATGGCTGAACATCTGTTACCATGTACCAGGTCCAGTTGAAGGTCAGTCAGGCTCTGTAGAAGCCAGATGTAAATGCCAAAGAATCAGGCAATGGCAGGGCAATAATGCTGGGACCTTTTCCCTGCTCAATTCTTCAGCATTTAGCAATTTTCAGCTCAGGTACTTTCGGAGGCTGAGGCAGTGTCTTCGTTTTTGATAGCAACAAATGATTTTTTCTGCCATGAGATCACTTTCTGAGCCCACAATTTTTTACCACAAGATATCTGGATGCCAACAAGCTCCGTAAGTACATACAGTATAAAAAGTCCTCCTTTTCCTTGATTGGGACCTGCCAATTGATATCTTCCTCTACATTACAGGGAAGAGTGGAAATCATACTTGTTTACTTTCTCTATTCCACTCAACTTTATAGACCTTTATCACATCCCTCTCTAAGTTCTTTGCCAGTTAAAGAATTTGAGGCCATTTAGTCAATCCTGGCAACCTTGTTGCTCTTCTCTGCACAAGCAGCAAGTAGACGCAAATCCCAGCTGTTCTGTCCCAGTGGGGATAATATTCCTGTGACCATTTTTCAAGCCTTAACTTTCATAGCTTTGTCCTGTTTTATCAGCTTTATCTGTAAGACCATTTACTAGGACACTGGGAGACAAGACCTCAACATTCCTAAAAGATCCTAAGGTTCTGAGTCAAAGCTTAAGCTTTAGTCTACCACGTGGAAGTCTGGAATTGGTACAAACCATGTTATGACCTCAGTGAGTAAACCCCTTCCCCAAGATCTAAAGGATTCCATTCCAGAAACCCCACAGAATACCACCCTATAGTGGCACAGCAAAACACTCATGCTGCTGAAATCAGAAAAAAGTTCACACCCTTGGCAGATGGCATTATTCCACTCAAATCAGGTGTGTAAACAGACACCTGCTAAGGATGTGGTTGCTGTTAAGAGACAGTAGGAAACTACAGCCCAGCCTGTGACTACAGGTGGATATTTCTTTTTGCAACCTACAGCCTCCCCCTCAGTGAAAAAAAGGCAGAATGTGCCGTCCATGGTGGATGAAAAAAGAGAGACATTACTGTCTTTATCAAGCTATTTGCATATAGCCTTAATTGTCATTGCTGTTAGCCCAGACCAATTAGAGTAGAAATGACTGTAAGGGAGGAAGGAGACAAGTCTGGAAAGTCCCCCTCTGACTTTTGTCTCTTAAAAATCAGTTACTCTGCCATTTACCCCAGTTCCAAACGATCCAGGAAACATTCAGTTAAATATTAAAAGAACGCAAATATTTACAGTTGCAAACTGCATCATGCAAAACAAATGGTAATTTCTAAACTCTGAGCTTTCTGCAGCAGAATGACAGAGATGGAATAAAAAAAAAACCCAACATCCTTTGCCTCATGCATTTTGCTTTCTGATTTTGGTTTGCCTCTGTTGTTGTTGTTGATTTTTAGTAAGCACAATAGGCACAAAAGCCCAGAGAACAGCAACATGCTGAGCAATGGAAAATGGAGGGGACAGCCAGAGTAGGTTGTTAACATAAGTGGAAGTCACTGATCACCCACAGGGAGCAGGTCTTTTGCGTGGGATGGTTCTTTTTAAGGGTAAGAAACTAATTTTTGTTTTATGAAAACCACTTTGCAGTCTTACTGTTTCCTCAGTTCTCCTAGTCCTACAAACCTTCAAAGGCTAAGAAGAAAAAAAGGGTAAGATTTGAGACTGTTCTACACATCAGAAAATTTATTAAGTCTCAGTCACAGAAGGTGGGGGGAACAGGACATGTAAATTATAATGAGAACCTAGTTTAACTCCTGGATAGCAAAGATTTCTGATTATTTATTTCCTGCTTATTATTCCAAATGCATGTGCTGGAGGGAAACCCACTATTTTTATGCAACTAATACTTATAGGTTGGTCTTTCTGCTGCATTCTGAGCAACTCACTCTTTAGTTTCTACACCTCTAAAGGTGACAGTCTTGTATTGTATCTTAGCACACATGAAGCAATCACAGAATCACACACAGAATCACAGAATGTTAGGGATTGGAAGGGACCTCAAAAGATCATCTAGTCCAATCCCCCTGCTGGAGCAGGAACCTAAATGAGATCACACAGGAAGGCGTCCAGGCGGGTCTTGAATGTCTCCGGAGAAGGAGACCCCACAACCTCCCTGGGCAGCCTGTTCCAGTGATCTGTTACCCTCACAGTAAAGAATCACTAGATTGAGAGCAGAGCTGGGCAGGAGATGTTTAGATGTTGTGCTTCATCTCTTCTCCCATCCAGCATTCCCCGATACCTCCAGTTCTATCCGCGCTTCCCCAGTGGAACATGCTTGGCCAAGAAGCCACTTTCTCAAAGCAAAAACAAGGAGTCAGATAAACCACCCAGGCCATAAAATAATGGGAAGTACCCCATGATCTGACCTGGGGTTGTGTTTCACAGCTGATTTGTTTGTAGTTCATTTACCTGATCAACATCATGTTTTTCAAACTCCTGTAGCTGCCTCTGGAAGCCCATGTTAGGATTGGCACAGGATCTCGCTGCGCGGACAACAGACAGTGCATCTTCCCAACCAAAGTCGGTGATGGTCATGATGTAGGCAACCACCAATGTTACACTCCTGGAGACACCTGCAAGGCTGTGTGAAAAGGGAATTGCAATAAGCTGAAGTCATGCTATACTTCATCTATCCCAGTTCAAAGCATCACTTCCCAACATCACAGCAGACTGCTGTGTTGCTTGCCACAAGGAAGAAATATTGCAGTATTTCAGTTAAAGGGCTTTGGTGCTGCTTTTTCAAATGTATCAAAAAAAATCTATTACAAGATTGATAAAGTGGGTTCTGAGCATTAATGAGACAGGAAAGGAAGAAATAAATATTAAATCTTCACAAAAGCAGGGGACAGTGTACATGTTCTAAGTTAGATTTGGTTTTTAATAAGATAGAAATAAGTCACCCACTTTCTTCTGGTTATATAGATCAGAGTAGTGAAATAAGACAGTTCCATCTCAACCATGAATAAAGGCTTCAATTTCATGGGGCCAAAATCAACTTTAACTGAACTGTTAAAATACATATGTCTGGTTGCTTGAGTTCTTCTCCTCTTTCTGCTAGCCACGTCCTGTACAACTTCAACTCTCAGGACTCCAGTTTCTCCGCATGAAACACTGGGATAAAGTAAGAACCATTCACTGTTACAGGTTTGACAGCACTGGACAAAATACTCCCAACTGTTACTATTGTGAGTATAAAGAATGTGTTTGAGTTACATTTGTATCAGACTCTTCCACTTGGCATTTCAAGTACATTTTATGCTTTTGAAATGCTTCACAAATTCAAATATATGTTTTTAAAACTCTATCAGAATTCAGACTAACCATCCCTGTTTTACATACATGGAGACTGACTAAATTACTTGTCCGCAGCCCTATCATGAGTCAGTAGCAAACTGAGGATTTATGCTCAGGACTTGTGTATAAGTCCAGTGTTCAAATCATGAGATGACTCTTGATTCCAGATATAGACTCAGATATGCAACTTGGATATACAGCAGAAAGACTACAACCAATAGAAGAGAGCAAGAAAAAACCCAGGGTGGGATTTCCTTTTCTATTCTCTACAGTCCCAGGAGCATCTCTCTAATCAGACTTGCTATTTACAAATGCAACATTTGAATGCTTCAGCAGCTTAAAGAAAAAAGGGAAAAAAAGTCAATTTCTGTTCATAGGAAATTTTTTTTAACAACTCTGAAGTCACCAAAATAGCTGTTTTAGAATCTAATCAAATTATGATGATTATGTAAATCACATTTAGAAATACAGTGATTAAAATAAAGGGAAATAAATAATACATGTCTAGTCCATGCATCTCTAGTCAACTCAATCCTACTAAAAGGTCTGATAAGAAGAAAAGGTCAAGAAGAATTTCTTGGGCTCCTTTTATCTCCAGGCAGCTGCCCACCCCAGTGACTCAAATGTCCAAGCATGAGGCTTTAATAGCATTTGCAAATCTTCTGGGGCTCTTTAAATAAAGCAAGCATTTCAGTCCAAGAGGATTTTGCTATAAAATGGAGATGAACACTAACATCATTAAAATGACGAACATCCAAATCAAGGTAGAGAAATCCTTGAGAAGTTTTTTTTAGCAAGTGGTATACATACCAATGAACTAGGCAGCCTTCACCTGTGAGCCGGCACTCATGGATAAATTTTATGCTCTCTCTGAAATGCCTTGCCCTGAAAACAGAAGCAAAAGGGGAATAAAGAAAGTGCTCTATTTAGTAAAATCACTACTTAGAAAGAGAATTGTATCCGAAAGCTCACTTAGCGCTGTTTCTAGAATTTAGAACTGAATACAGTTCTTATAAAGTAAAAGTTATGAGTCTGCCAATGAAACACAAAACTCACTGGCATAGTTATTCTCCACTGTACCTGAAGAAGAAATTGGTGTCTTAGGCACTGCAGTGTGATAAACGTTATCAAACACTTTATTCTGATGACTGTGAAGTCTGTATTCCAGTTTGTGTTTTATTCCTCTTTAAACTAGTAACTTGACCTCAGAAGTCCTTGTGTATGCTCAGATGTCAGCTGAAACTCAGCATGACTACATGAACAGTTCTCCAGGTACACTGTCTCTCACAAAGAGGCATCCACTACCCACTACCCAAAGTCATGCATAACTTGACTTCCCCTCCGCCTTCAAACCATGTACTAGGACACATCTGAATGTTACGACTTTCTTCTTTGCAAGATGAGATCTCTCCCTTTTGTCCCTGCTATGAAAAAAATCTTAATTCAAGC